GGGATAAGAGGGTAAAGAGTAGATAGATAGACCAGGACAGAAAGAGGAGTGATAGTGTAACTGTTTTCGGTAGAACGTTGGTCTAGGGATTGATTTCACTTGTCTCTTTGACGAGTTCGCAGCTTGGTGCGGAGAATGGCAAAACTCACTGATGATGCCGGCGAAACCACTGAGAATGTACCAAGTCTACTGTCTGATGCTGGGAATTATGGCAACTACTATGGCAAAGGACTTCGGACAAGATGTGCTCTACTAAGTCGCCCCGACAAGAAGACCAAGTTGCGACGAGGTTAACCCAACTCTAGTATATCCTACAATCTACCAATCTCCTGGTCCATATGGTTTACATCTGCCCGACACAGACTCCTTATTCTCATATACCTCACAACTCCTATTATGAATCTATACGTATGCTTCGAGAAAAAATTTAATAAGTAAATCCGCGTGAGTTAGTTTCTCATATACGTCTCTATCTAACTTATTACCTTTGCTCACTAATACATAAAATAAAGGCAATTTATTTTCCTTTTCTAACTCCATGGTAAATTTAATGTTTGCATATATTATATTTATTAGCCCAACGAATTCCCCAAAACTATTTTTGCCGTGTTGCCAAACAGCAAAGTAATCGTACATGTAGCGAACTAATAACTTCGGAACTATGAGGGTCTCTTGAAGCACGAGAACATCTAATTGGGCCATGTAGTCATTAGCTAAAATAGGGGCTAAACACGATCCCATAACCAAACCCCAAGTCTGCCCATACAACTTACCATTAAATGTAGAATATGTATTATACATTGCCAAATTGACTAATCTAATTAGTGAAACTTTGCTTAACTCGTTACCTGTTTTGATTTCAGAGTGTTGATCTAGAGTTAATTCGAATGCTTTAATAAAGTCGAACGAGTTCTTTACTGGAAACATCCAAGTTTCGGAGATTTGCTTTAACTCGTGATGTTTTATACATCACGCTAACTTTATTGTTTACAATAATCCTAAGTAGAGTACCTTGCATATGGATTTTGGGCATTTGGGGTCTAGCATCTCGCTGGAGAAGTGCTTTCATTTTTTACTTTTCCAGTTCTCCACTCTTTACACATTGTTGCAGAAGACCCTTAAGTCTGACCTTAAGGCCTTCTTTCTGGCCCCTAATTATAGTCTTATATATTATATCATCATCTAATGCCTTTAACATTTTCTCTACATAATCAGTCCTACCCATAACTACTACTGCTCTTCCTTTGTCTGCCCTTAATACTCTTAATATTAGTTGCTCGTTCTCCTTAAGCTTCATTATAATAGGCTTAACTGTCCTATTCCTGTATGGTGTTTCTACATGACCATCAATTACTGGGGAAACTTGTAGATAAATGTCACTCCTAGTATCTTCTGAGAAATTATTCGTTAAAATTATCAATTCTACCCAAATTTCCTCTTTAAAGTCAGCGCGACCAAATTACGATAACCAGGTCAAACAACTTCCATGTCCAATTTTATAATGGTCATTAAGCATTGTATTAGCTCAAGCCTTGACTGTTTATCTTCCTCAAGCCCTTCATGCGTAATTACTCAAGGAGTCTATAAAGAAGGCCATTTCAAGAGGACGTTTTGTAGAATGCGTTAATAGTAAGATGCAATTATGTTTGGCTCATAACAAATTCGAATAGCATGGAAAAAGATTATTTGTTGAACAACACGCATTTTGACGTATCTTGTTAGTCTAATAGATAAAACGGCATTTATTATAAATAATCTATCCTCAGCCTCCTATGAGCTTAGTGCTCATCCAGCAGCATGTATTGCTCGGGCTTAAACAAAGAATAGGTTGAGATATCTTTAAAAAAGTCGGTTCAGAATAAGCAATTGCCATTTTTAGTCTATCAGGTGTCAGAACATCATAGCATCTGTTCTTACGTACAATTAAGTCGCCCTGACAACACGACTAAGTTGCGAAAACGAGGTCAGACCACGTCTAAACATCTTAGTATCTAGTTAAAATAGAGTTGGTTTGACCCAGTTTTCGCAACTTAGCCGAAGACTGTGACCAAACAAAAGGTTACATCATCTTAATCTTCACATCTACGATCTAAGATAAAAAGAAGATATGAAAACCAATATGGTGTGGCCGTCGGTATGGTCGCAGTCTCCCTTCGATTTATAGAAGTGGGTTGACCTTGTTTTCTCAACTTGGTCTTGTCGTCAGGGCGACTTAATTGAACGCACATTGTCCGAAGTCATCTGCCATAGTAGTTAGCGTAATTCCCAGCAGCAAAATGTACCAAGCCCACGGGCTGATGTTGGGAATTATGATAACCACTATGGCAGATGACGTCGGACAAGGTGCGCTCAACTATGTCGCCGTGACAACAAGACCAAGTTGAGAAAACGAGGTCAACCCACTTCTAAGAGAAATAGAGTTTATGGTCCTGCAAGTGGTTGGTATATATGTTTTGCACTGCAAGGTAAAACTAAGGAGTTTTACGTCCGTCTAGCTGGCACAGCTAAATTAAATCACCTATTTTCATTCCTGCATGCGTATGCGCAAAAGTTCACCAACGTAGAGATTCATATTTAGCTCATTTTGTTATTTCGCGGACATATGCATGTAAATACATAATACAATTGCTAGCTAGGCCAGATATTATCAAATCAAACTAGCACAAGATGCCTTATAAACGCGGACAAGTTCAAATTGCATACCGAAATATAACTTGTCTATTTCAGAACAGTCGGTGCCAGGAGCCCAAGGGCCTCCGCGACCCGAATACTCTGAAAGCGTAGCGGAATGTGAGGCGGATTCGGCGGCGCTACATTCAGGAGCGACGAGAAACGATGGCTCTGGCTGCACCGGCGAGCTGATAGAGCAGAAGAATTGACGGTCGATATACCCAAGCTCGTCAGAGTCATCTAAAATTAACAATCGATATACCACGGACAGTGTTGGACGAGGCCCTCAGCAAACTATAGGCATATGCTTAGATGTCTGTTACTTTATAAATACTTGATAAGAGGCCAATAGAATTAGTGGATTGTCAGTCAAATAAGTAGTTGACGAGTAAGGAAAAGGCGTAACAATTAAGTGATGTAAAGATTGTCAATCAAATAGAATTTAAGGGTGAATTGACTTACGTGCACCGAAAGAATGAATGTGCTAATGCACCATGATTTGATGCGACATTTCATGTGAGACAATTGGATAAACTCAAATTGTGAATGTATAAAAAATGCTCAAAATATTAATAGAATTTTTTAAAAATATTTCAAGCGCCGCAGATGCTTTTGCAAAGAAAGTATTACAAATTATGCATAACGCATAAGCTGTCATGTGCAGCAAGCCAATAAAGTGATGACAAAGTGGCTCGACCTCGTGACATGGCCGTGTTGTCAGAGCAACCTAGCCGAACACATGTCCGGAATGAATCAATTCCAAGGTCCGACGCTGGAAATCACCATGACTGCTGTGTCAAAGGAGTCTGGATAAGATGCGCTCATCTAGGTCGCCCTGACAACACGAATGTTGCGAAAACGAGGTCACACCACTTCGATATATAACGAAAGGAGATGGCGACAAAATTAAAGGCCACCTCATCTTAGCTTTCATAGATTCGATTAAACTATGGAATAAAGATTGTCAAACAAAGAAAACAATTTTAGGTCAGTCATTCCATTTGACCCCTTCTAGCCATCACAAATGTTAAGCTATCACCCCAGGTTTGTGCGACTTCATGAGCAAGTGCCATTCTAATATCGTTAACAGAATAATCTACCATACCTCGATCCATAAATCAGAAAAAAACATGATTGTGGGAGCAAAAGGCTATGTAAGTTCTTGATTGGTAAGTCTAAACTTAGACAGGATCTGGGCCGCATTCTCAATAACTCCAGAGTATTGCTGAGCCTAGGCCACGAAGGATTCAGGAATTGATAATAAATTGCTCAGACAGTACAAGATC